TCCCTGGCCGGGTCAGAGTCGAGCCGTGTCCAGCCCTGGGATGTCCGTCGGGCAGTGCCGAGGGGCCCCTACGTTTGTTTTATTGCTGTTGGGCTGGCGAACCTACTCCACTTGGATTAAGTGATAAATATAGACAGAAAAATAACATTTTGGGGGTGGGGTGGCTTTTAAATTTTTTATTTTTTATTTCTAACAGAAAACAATCTACCCACGACCCAGGATACACTGTGAAACTTTGCAACAAATGCCTTTGCTTTCTCTTACTTCAGTATCCTTTCCCCCCTTTTCTTTTAAGGAGCCCTTAGGGAAACCGTGAGGTAACCCTGCGAGTTCCAGTAACACAGTTATGACAAAACAGCCCAACTACGAAGTGATCAAAATTCCGGAAATGTTCAGAAAGAAAATACCAGAAACAAAAGTGCACACAACAATTCAAGGTTTCCTTAAAAAAAAAAATGAAAGTAACTTACCTGTTGGGACATTCTGAATAAGAGGTTAGTATCAGCGTTTTGCCATGTCCCCATGAACCCTGGTTCAGCCGCAGTCGTTCTGGTTCCGAACTGCATGGAGTTGTCAGTACAGGAGTCTCTTAAAGTCAAGTCTCTTGCCCTCTTTGGCTCTCTGTCTCTCTGTGTCTCTCTTTCTCTCACATCCACTTCTGCCTCTTCTGACTGAAAAGTGAAGGTGGATTTTTTGAGCCTCTTGGCAGCCAGTAGCAGGAGTGTAGTGTAGTTAAGAAGCTGGCTGAACTGTGCATTTCATTTGGGAAGGGGGAGATCTGGGGGAGGGAGGGGGTCAGAGCTTCTTTCACACCTTCTGCACAGATACCCCTATCATTTATGCATAGATTGTGACTCCCCGAGCTTGCCTTTGCTGGGTTTAACAGCTGCCTGTCAGGTGTGCAGGCAGCACTGGAGACCCAACCATCAGCTTCAAACTCCCAGCCACTGCATGTCATTGGATAGCAGAGCTAAAAGTCAACTGCACTGTTCCACTGTCAGGCACCAAATGACACCCTGTACTAACCCCTCTCTAGACACACGGAGAGATACACACTTGTGCACACTCCAAGCAGCACCACCATCAGGGACTGTCCACGGGGCAAGGAGAGTCTGGGACCCTTCCCAAGGAATTTTTCCCAACAATGCTTTCAGGTATAACATGCAATTTCTGACAGCAGTCTCTGCTTCTACATTTGTAAACTGCTATGCTTAAAAACACTTTTTTCCCTTAATTACACTGGAAGAAAGGAAAATATTCAGCTGTAAAAGAATGTAAAGTTGACTTAGTTGTTGTCTAAATGTTAGCTCCTAAAAGTCATATAGTGTGTGCTAGGCTATTTATAACCTCATATAAACTCCTAGAGAAAATAATACACATAGAGATGTGACCTTAAACTCTAAAATGTAAATAAATAAAACTAGCAGTTTTTTGAACATAGAAGTAGCACAATAAACATTTGCAAATTACATACAAACTATTTAATATCCAGTTTCTTGGGGCAAGAATTACTAAATTCGATGTTAAATAAGACACTGAATGGCAAAGAAAAAAAGTGTACCTTTTCTCAAAGCTCAAGAGTAGAAAAAAAATCCTCTGTTAAAGTTCCTGGATGAAGCCTCTATAATATCCTTTCAAATCATAAAAAAGAAAAAGATGAAGAAAACAGCCTGTCCCATCTCAGTCAAAAAGTAATGAATATAAAAACTCCATTTTTCATTCACGATCTCTCTGGAAAATTCTATAATGTTTTCCAGCCTGATGAAATATCACCCAGATAGCCTGTCGTATTTTTAATTAAACCCATTTTAAAACAAAACATCTATTTATTAGATGGTATTTATCCACCTTATTTATGGAAAAGCTGAACTGAACAAAATGCACTGAACATAAACAGCAACTCCAAAATGGAAAGCTAAATTCATGTCATCTCATAAAAGTAGTCAGCAGGAAAAAGCCATCCTTCCTAAACTTAAAATGTAAGGCACATTAATCTTCAACCACCTACAAATACTGAGGACAAATGTACCACTCTCCTTGCTCCTTCTTAACTCAAGAATAACAATAAACCTTACCCTCTGAAACAACAAAAGAAACAGAAAAGAGCTTCAATGGCAACTCGGTGTCATTAGTGGACAATGAGAAAAGATGAGAAAACGTGCACTATGTTGACACAAATGTGCCTTCCCCTCTAGAACAGACGTCTCCTGAAAGCTTTTCTGTTAAACTTCCCTCCGGTTCACCACCATTAAGCACAAAAAAGTCTCAAAAGCAGCAAATTCAATATCTGAGAAGAAACAAACAAGAACCCAAAGAATTGTTGCCTTAAAATATATTAAGTCCACCTGTGGTCAATAAAAATATTCTTGAGGGGGGAGAGGGCTGGAAAAGACCCTATGAGTCAATTGTCAACAGTGACTGTACCTTTACAGCTAGCTATTACCCACTTAAACTCCCTCTAAAATTTGCTAGCCTCTTGATTTCTGAAGTGGCACTCAGTGCCTCAGTCAAGCTGCCTGCTCAGCTCCTGACCTTCCCACTAATGGCTGTTATTTGTGGGAGGCTTAAGGACACTGTCAATAGCAAGCTTCCTCCTCGCTCCTCGCAGGCTCTGTTGTATCGCTTTGCCTGCGTGTTCTCTCTCGCCTGCCTCTTGCTCTCCCACTCTCACCCTCTCACCCTCTCGGCTCCCCCTCATTCCTTCCTCTCTCCTTCACTCCCTCTTCCTCTTCTTCCAGCCCCAACCCCTCCTTTCTTTCAGTCCAGCGGTCCTCTTCTTTCCCAGTTATCCTCCCCTCCAACCACACACACACACACACACACAAAACACAAAAATCAACTGGCATGCAGCAGCAAGCACCTGCAGTAATAGACTCTTTTATTAAAACTGTTATTCTGCAAGACTTGAAATTCCCCGTGGACCGGGCCATGTCAAAGCCGATATAATTAACTAGAGGCTCAGCAACGGATCAATTACCAGACAAGCAAGTGATGGTGAAATCAATGAAAGATCATCAGCCACATTATCAGTGTTGCAACTCATTAGGGCAAAACTGAGAAATGTGCTCAAAGCGAGCCCAAGCAAGGTGGCATTACAAAACAAAGGGCTAATTTGGAGACCCTGCTGTGAACAATCTGTAACAGAATTAGCCTTTTTTCCCCCTAAACTGCACAGCTCCGTAACTAAATGTGACAGACTGAGAGAAGCAGTTTATTAAGACACCAACCCCAAGTTTATTTAGTTCATAAACTCTCTCCTAGAAAATCAATACAGTCTGTACAGGGTTATTAGGCTGACTAGCTAATACATCCAAATCTGGTCTGCCCAGCCAGCAGTCTTCTGACAAAACGCTGCCTAACGTAGGCAAGCCAAGCTCCTCACGACAGCAAAGCTTGGGTTGCTCCAGATGAAACAGGTCTGCAGCATAACCAGGACCTGGCATATCACTGTCAAGGCACAAACAAGAGCACCAGGGTATCTTTCTAAGATTTAAAATATTTCTTTTACAACAAACCTACCATGCAATCCTGCACCTGCCAAATGGATCTGATCAAACAAAACCTTAACTACTTTGTAAGAATAGTCTACTCAAAGGACAAGTTTTACTACAATAAGACAACAATTAACCCAGACAAGAAATGAATAAATGAGTAAACGAAAACCTCAAGCATCTCTCCATGCTGCACTTTATAGATCTTAAGATTGGAAGGTCCGTTTTTAAGTCAAACTTTTAAAATACAAATCTGACTTCTCCAGAAATCCCCCAAATGAATTATTTGAACTTGCCACTCACTTCCACACAGAAACACAGCACGCAGAGTCCTTGATCTTAGGATAACCTGTCTAGCTGGCATGTTAAGGACATAGGTATGAAAAAATATACCTATAAGGCACAAAGATGACTTTTGAGTTTGTTCACTGGCTAAATAGTCTGCTGATTACAGAACAACTGTCTGGAATCATTTGTATTAAAATTACTTAAAATTAAGGAGTAGAGGCAAATATCACTTACTGACACAGTAATTGTTTATCTGCCACCCTAAGTCCATGTATTTCAGCTTAAAGAATCACAAATACTAAAGGCTATGTGCTGGCTTTCCCATGTTTACCGATGGTGAGACGGACCATGGGAAGAAATACACCACTAGGTCTAAGGCACCCAAGTTGTGGAAGACATGGGAATATGAATACCTCCACCTCAACACAGCACATCCCAGAAATACACTTATGCCAAAGTAAGAAACTCAAACGCAGTTTACAATGTTAAAATAGACTGGAGAACTGAAGGAAAAAACAAACAGACAAGAGTTTTTGGAAGAGATTTCTGATGTTTCTGATAGCACATTTAAAATGTTCCAAGGATTACACTATTAATGTGACTTCAGTGTACTGGCTCTAAGATACTGAAAACTAAACTTCAAAAATAGTCTTTATTTTCACAGGACTTTACTAAAATCCAATGTATAGTTATAGACTGCTGTGAAGAAACATTTTCCCCCTAACTTTTGAGCTGGTCCCTTAATGTAGCATTTCATAGCTCGTGGTTTTTTAGTAATCTGTAAAAAAGTTAGACATATATATTCTCCAGCTATACTATAGATATCAATGTTTTTGAATAGTAATTAAAAGTTGTAATTGCAGAGAAATGGTATTTTTAAAAACCTTTTTGCATATAACTACATACTGTGCATGTACCCTCAATGAGATCCAATTAGTTGCCAAGAATTTGCATTTCAGTTAGTGTGGAATAACAAGACTATAGGGAGGCACAGTGCAATTCCACCAGCAGAGTAAGAAAGTGTGTTCTTTCTTGTTAGCTCTGTAAGCAAGAATTCCCACAACTGACTGCTTAAAATGTTACTGATCTTTTCAATATTTGGGTATTGAGGTGGGTTACGTTCTTTCCCTCCATTAAAAAAAAATTACACGTCGGTGCAAATATTAGCCACAATAAAAACCTTGAAGAAACAAAGGATTTTGTTTTGTGTGTTTGTATATGGGATGGGGGGGGATACTTTTTAATATTTATTAATAATTTCTTTGAAAGCACATTGCTTTCTCAGAATAAGTTCTGTAATTGGGGGTAGGGAAACCTCATGTACGTGTGTGTGTATAGTTTTGTGATAAAGGCATGCATTTCATACACTGAGAAAGTACTCAAGGATTTCCCTTTTTTCTAGCTATGCTTCCAACTATGTAAATCCTAAGCAAATATCAAATAAATGTACAATTTATAGACACAGTATAACAAGCATCTCTAGGACTTCCACTGGTTCACAGAACAATACCTGTAATTCCCTGGGTTCAGCTCAGCAGCTGTTAACAGATTCTGTAATCTGTAATGACAGTAAACTGGCCTTTGCTCTTCTTTTATTCACTGTTCATTTTCAAGGCTTGGTTAAGTACAGAGCTGGGTTAAAGATCAGTGGTTTTTCATGTGACACATGCTGGTATTCATCTAATGGCTTGTCAAGACAAAACTGTCCCTGTTCTTGCCAAAATAATAAAAATGACGCGCCACATCGCATGACAAGCAGCACTTCCTTATGCCAAAACAAGTCAAGCTTTTGTAATTCACTTATTTTATAAAAAAAAAATTTTAGTAATTGGCTATCCACTCCTATATGTGGACTTAGGTTGCCACTCTCAAAGGAGATTTTTTAAGTGGTA